AAATGCTTATCGACTCACATATTGCATTAGGGATTATTGTGCATCTTAGCCATAGTTATCCCAAGAATCGCTCGTAAGTCCGTTCGTTCAATGTTCTCGGTATGATTATGCTATGTTTTCGGACAATAAGGGGGATGCACTCATGTAAGCAAGAAGCCGTCCTTTCAACATTTGCAGATACGCTGCACTATGCATGTTTATTCTACTCTGTTCAGGCACGGGAGACTCAGCCTGTCTGCAGGCAAGCATGCATTGACATGGCGTCTATCTTTCCCACCCATCGGTAACAGCACATGGCGCAATCGTGACGGTGACAGGGACTCTGATCCTTAGTCATCAATCCAATGGCGACGAATGGAGGCTGGAGGGGCCTTAGTCAGCCTCGAGTGGCGACGGGGGACTCTAGAAGGTACAGTCCACAGCAGAAGTAATGTGTGGTTTCAGTCATGGGTATGTTCTGCTTCTGAAGCCTAGAAACGATTAGCCAGACTGCAACGAGACTTTAAATGTAGCTTACATGTATGGCGCACCCTTGCAGCTACAACTTTATCTATTGACGTCTTCTTTTCAATCAGTTCGCATTTAAAAATCGTCGGTCAAAGTCATCCGTTGAGATTGGTAAAACCACACATTACTTTTGCGGTGGGCTGCACAAACGTACGCAGTCAGCCCTTCAATGACAATGAAAGGGTCCCTCCCTGGTCCTTGGTATAATTTCTCTGCGGTAATGGTGGTGGCCGGTGGGGGCTTAGGTCCTTAGTCATCTATCCAATGGCGGCAGTAGAGAGCAGCTCAAATCCTTAGTCAGCTACCCAATAGCGGCGCAGGACCTCATGTACTTAGATGGCCTTCAATGGGGATTTTAGGGGATCAAGTCCTTAGCCAGCCCTCGCAGTAGGGGCACAGGTCCTTCCCATTTCCCTGCAGTGGCGGCGGTAGGGGCTCAGGCCCTCCAATGGCAGCAGCGTGTCCGTGCGCGGCGCCAGTTGGGGCGGGGTGGCCGGCCGACCAGCGCTGCAGGAAAACCGACGTCATATCTGATGCAGTCAGCTAGAGGTGCGGACTCACTCTGCATTTGGTGGCCACTCGGGGCGACGCCCGGACAGTAAGGTGACACGCTGATGCTGCAATCCTGGTCTAGAGCGTACGCAGATAATATCCATTTTAAAGGGACCCTCCCACCTTCAAAAAAGTTAATGAATTGGCACGAAAGTGATGTCGCTCGGTTCAGAAAGAGCGAAAACGAATATCTACCAAATTTTATCGAAAAATATTCACCGGTTTTCAAGATATTAGACTTTTACTTTTGTTTACTTTTTGGGATCTCCGCTGTTCCTAGCGACTTTATTTGAAAGTGCGGCATTTGTTGCGCGCAAAGCAGCATATACCACCGCGTGCTACCATGGGCGGCGCCACCGGGGGGGGACGGGGGGGACAGGTCCCCCGCTATCGAAAGTTAGGGGGGTACAGTACCCCCCTATCGGCGAGGCCCGTTCAATAGTTGATAATAATGCATTATAGAGCTATCCGTCGCATTTAATGCATCGTTGGTTAATCAAGGCAGGTTCTGAATAAAGATTGCTGTTGGGATGCATCGCAGGGGGTCCTGGCCATCTGCAAAAGGTGTGGAGCTGTGATGCCTGTAGTTATAAGGTGATCGGCAGGGCCTCGGGGATCGTGCCCCCTTTTTGGGGCGCCAGGCAGGGTTATTACTTATTACCTCCCCACCCCACTGCCAGACCCCATTGCCGATAAAACCAAGTTCACTGAAATTCCATAGATTTCCGTTACTATATGAAAATTTTCCATTCCTAATTAGTCAAATTCAAGCATGGCAGTTCTACCACAGGAACCATTTGAAATCTATGCCATTTAACCCCAGCACTTGTGGGGAGAAGTGTTCGGATAGATCACAGGCAGGACCAAAAAAGCACGCAGTAGCCCAAGACCTTATAATTGGATATAGCATCGGCTCCCTCTCGTCAAGGGGTTCGATAGCACTCGTTTTTTTTTTCTGCAAAACTAAGTTCGGTCGGCGGCCGAACGGCTGGGGGTCTAATCGAGCCCCCCATCCCTCCCCTTCTTACGTCAGCGGCTGTGAAAATGCCATTACCAGCTGTTGAAACATGGCAGTTGCTTTTGCATGAGTGCACGAAAGGGTTTTAGGTCCGTGATACGTGAAACGTTCTACATGAAAATTGAGATACACCAGCTTATCAAATTGTGCTCACTGTGGTGCGCTCGGTTTTACCTTGACTAGTCTTTGAATTCTGGGGTGAAACAGACCAGTCAAGAAACCTGTTCCATAAGGAGAGCCACTAATGCTAAAGAGATGTGGGATGAGGTTTCCAGAGACCTTCATTACCTCCCAAAGGGGGTGCCCCGCCATTTGCCAATCCCTGCTGTAGTTGTTACGATTGGAGGGTGAATATGAGAACGATGCAGGTCGTGCCAACTGCCAGCTCGATCATGACGAACACAATGGTGCCGACATCACAGCTCTATTGCCATTTTTGACGAAGTTAATCAACAAGCACCGGAATCCTACCCTGGGGCATTTCACCTGCAGAGGTCGCCGGACCTGAGACCCTTTCACTCAATTTTTTCAACGGTGCATGCGCTCGTTTTTCTCGCGAAGCTCTTGGCAAGTAAAATCCATCAGAAAGTGTGATCAAATAACGGCTGGTGACCTTCCATGACCTAGCATGACCTTTTGAGTGACCACCGATGACATGACCACTGACGGCTAGCCATTAGCTGCACCCTGCCCGTTGCATATGGATCAGGTGGTGATGTCATGATTCTGAAATTATATTGCAGTTTTGGCGCACTTGTCAGAGCGGAAGACATTCCCACTTTTCCTCCATGACTATATGATGGTGAAGCCCTGAAGCTGACCAGACGTAAGATCGAAAATTTGAAAGTACGAAACGTAAGAATAGCTGGCACTGCTACTCATACCTAAGCAATCGCAGCTTGTAGGAAACCAGCTTTGAGTTGGCAAGACTGCAAATTTTGATTTAGAGGCAAGGATGCTTGAAAAGGTGATCGATCTTAGGTGTCCTAGGATAAGTTTGGAAACGGGATGCACCATTCGATGTGTTTTGGGCCTTGCCAAGTTTCGCGGCGTTACGTGCCTCGTTTTTTTTTTTGCATACACGATCAGTAGGTATCTACTTTTGGGATTTTCGGTCCCCGTCCCCCCCTATCGAAAACCCGTGGCGCCGCCCCTGCGTGCTACCAAACGTTTTAGTAAAAGATTTAAAAATCGTTAGATCTCCGCTGACGTCACAAATTCTAAGGGGGCATACCAATGCACTAGCCCCTTAGAATCCGAAAACTGCAAGTTTGAAATTCCATATCTCCGAATTAAAGCATTTGTCGATGTTGTGAGTGCCCAAACCGGTATTTGCAGGCCATGGCCACCAATTTGGCTATCTCAACTCAAAACTAATGTTAAGGTGGGAGTGTCCCTTTAAGTTGGGGTGTGTATGTGCTCGGAAGCCCTGTCTGATGAGTTAGTTATGTGGCTACTGTGATGATGAATCAGTCAAGTGACGCACGGTACTAAACTTTGCATCACTAGCTAGAACAAAGCACGAACTCAGCAAGGTGGAACGCGTTTTTCTGGAGCAGACTGGCTTGCTGTGAGTGTTTGTATAGGAGGGCACAGTTGTTCATTGCAGCAGAGATATTAACTCTCTTCACCTCACAGCATCGCATTGTACACACATAAAAATATTGACACCGTTAGCGGTGTAATTGCACAGTACATATCTGAGCACTTGAGGAAAGTTAATTTAGTCCCTTCCCCGCTTAAATTACTCGCGCTTCTAAATGAACACCGGGAAGAAGGTAATAGAACACTGTTAGGAGGGTTGGGTGTTTTACTACATGTAGCAAAACACCCAACCCTCCTAACAGTGTTCTATTACCTTCTTCCTGGTGTTCATTTAGAAGCGCGAGTAATTTAAGCGGGGAAGGGACTAAATTAACTTTCCTCAAGTGCTCAGATATGTACTGTGCAATTACACCGCTAACGGTGTTAATATTTTTCTGTGTGTACGGCTTACACACAGGCGAATTTAATGCGTAGCGACTTACTTTTCTCTAAAATCTTCATAAAAGATACTGAAACCGTATACATAGGTACCTACACTCTGCACTTATGAACATCAAGAACATCTTACGTTGAGCCATTCATGATTCGAATGTTTTTAGGTTCTGGGTCTTATGGCTACTGCTTAAGGTCTGGTAACTACCTGACGGTTCCGCGTGACCCTCTGCCAGTTCCTTCAGTTATCCAGTTATGTAACACAACCATTGACAGTTCTGACCTGCACTGCTGCCACAACCATGGCCGGATCGACACATCAGGCAAGGGCATAGCCACACCACCTGCGTATAGTATCGCTATGTCCCCCTCCCTTCCTGTGAGCCAAAAACCCGTCTCGATAGTCACCAAACGGGTCCCAACCGTCGACGCTGACCGCAGCTCGGCATGACGAAGGATTAACGCGTACGTACGTATCTGCGGTGACGGGAGTCGCCGAGAGGGCTGCCTCAGCTGCCAGCCTGGTGACGTGGTGATAAATCACTGGGAATGAAGATCGCCATTCGCCATTCTTACATCAATCAGGCGGGCCTCTGTTTGAGATGGAATATTTGTGCTTCGTAAATTATGTTATGTTTCTCGATATCTGTTTTCTGTTAAACGTTACGACTTGCGTTTTGAAAATGTTTTGCATTACCTATTGGCAGCTTCAGAAGATCGATTCCCTCACAACTATTGTTATGCTGGCGTTTTTACATTAAGCATTGGCTAGTTCAGGTTTACCTAGTTATAGCCGTTATTCGGCTGAAAAACTACCAAGACTCAACCGTGGACCTAATTTGACCAGATCGCACGAAATATGACCAGAGGTGCCGTCACGTAAACGACTTATATCACTAGCGATATCGTTTCACTGCACAATAACATTCTCTCCGTCCTCCCACAGTCGGTACATGGTGCTGGCGTCTCGTCTGGTGCGTCCCGGTACCATTTACCGGGTACTGGCCGTACTTCTAGACGCCGGCGGGAAGGTACACTCAGATAACCTGCGGTACCCGCTCGATGTGCGCGCATCAGTCTCTCGGGACGGCGTCGAACTGGCCTCCAGTATGAAGACCATGGGACGCGGAGACATCCAGATGATGATGATGAGGGTAAGTTCGGCACCAGACCAAGGAAAAATGGCTATGTATTTGCAGTCCATGCAAATTTAACCATGCCATTTAAAATGTGATTTATTTGCGGTTTTCCAATTCATTGATTATATATATTTATTTGTTATAGAAGACATAAATTTTTAGACATAAATTTGCAGTACAACAAAGAGCCACTGGGGCCCATACTTGGTTGCACATTTGCACAGTCTGTCAAAATGCGTGCCACCTTTCCGCTTTTCTCCCTAACTTATGTGTGTGAAGTCGGCACAAAACAGCGACACATTGCAGGCATAAAGCATACCTACGCCACATTACCAACATTTTGCCACTTCATCACTTCATCAATCATTTCGTCACAACTCTTCCCTGCCCCCCCCCCCCCCCCTCGGCCACGCACTATCATCGCCAAATGTCTCACAAGTCCACTGCCATGCAAGGCATCTCCAAACAATTCGCATATAAGCTCAACGGAACAGCATCAAACACCCGCAACAACATTCTGCAGACATATTGCAACCTAATACCAGGCATAATTTTTGCTATGAATTCACGCACATCTTACATTGATCACATGCACACATCAGTTGGCTAGTCCCACCTATATCTGTATACTATATCCCGCTCTGTAAAGTATTTGTCGAGGCTATGTTTAAATGTTTCGAGGGAGGTTGCACTTATTACGCTAGTTGGTAAACTGTTCCAATGACCTACCACTCTTCTACTGAAAAACGACTGCCTTAACTTTGTCCTGCTACGTTTAATGGCAAGCTTATATTGATGGCCCCTGCTTCTGCCCTCCAAATTGAAATCAAACATATCCCTAAGGTATCCTGTGGCTTGGCCATTTACGAATTTAAACACCTCGATCAAGTCTCCCCTAAGCCTTCTGTATTTGAGAGAAAATAGCTTAAGCGATTTTAATCTATCCTCATAATGCAGATCTTTCATACCATTTACCATCTTTGTCGCCCTTTTTTGCACTCTTTCCAAAAGCAAACTATCTTTTTCATGCATTGGAGACCATGACTGAACGCAATATTCCAAATGAGGCCTAACGTATGCACAATAAAGCGTAAGCAAAACCTCTGCACTTTTGTACGAAACATTCCTGTTTATTGCTCCAAGCATCCGAAGGGCCTTTTTTCTGGCTGCTTGTACTTGTTCAGTTGAAGAAAGCTTCTTATTAATAATCACGCCCAAGTCCTTTTCACTGTCTATATTACATAATGTTTGTCCCCCCATTGTGTATGAAGTGTCATAATGTTCTCTACCAATATGCATGACCTTGCACTTTTTAAAATTAAACTTCATTTGCCACTGCTCTGACCATTTTACGAGCCTATCAAGATCTGATTGGAGCTCATTATGATCCTTATCGTCCCCTATAACCCTAAATATTTTAAGATCGTCAGCAAATTTCAGCGTATCACTATTCACAACAGTTTCGATAGAGTTGACAAAAATTAAGAAAAGCAATGGTCCCAGGACGGATCCCTGTGGAACCCCACTTAGCACATTTCTCCATTTTGATTTAGTGCCATTTAGCACTACCCGCTGTTGTCGATCAGATAACCAATTCTCAATCCAGCTTAAGATTTGACCATCTATTCCATGACATTTGAGTTGTAAGCAGAGCCTTTTATGGGGGACCGTATCGAAGGCTTTACTGAAATCAAGGAAAGAGACATCTAGCTGCTTACCCTGATCAAAAGTCTCTGTCGCCTCATCAAGAAATTTCAAAAGGTTAGTGAGGCATGAGCGCCCTTTCATAAATCCGTGTTGAGATTCTTTTATAATATCATTCTCCTTCAGAAAACAAACTATGTTATCCTTAATAATCGATTCAAGTAGTTTACATACCAAGGAGGTAAGACTGACAGGTCGGTAGTTTTCAGCACAACTTTTATCACCTTTCTTAAATATTGGGACTATATTTGCTTTTTTCCAATCAGTAGGAATGTCTGCATCGTTAAGGGATCTCGTAAATATTATAGATAATGGAATTGATAACTCTTGTTTACATTCCTTTAATACCTTTGCATATATTTCATCAGGCCCTTCAGATTTATTTGACTTTAGTCTCTCAATATACTGTTGAACCAAGCCACAACCTATCTCGCCTAAGTTTCCAACCATTGCATCAGTAACCATCTGTGGTAGAAGTGACTCAAAACCATCCGTGTCCTCAACGGTAAACACCGATTGAAACTGAGTACTTAGTAATTCTGTCATTTCGCTGTCACTAGATACTACATTGTTGTTCGACTTCAGGGGTCCAACGCCTCGTGTGATCTACTATTATAAATCTTAAAAAGTCCGCCGCCGTCGGGGTTACGCAGCCGGCGTTACTCCCAAAAACGCCTATTGCGGCGCCGTCGATTGACGCACGAGGGTGAAATTTTCACGACTCGTGGGTCACGTAATTCAACAGGTCGTATTAAATTTTGGGCACGATTCGGCCGGGGGTGCACCCGTGGCGCGTGCTCATGTGCGCCATAGGGATAGCATTAGAATCGCGACCGGCGCCGAGCAGAGGGCACGTGCTTTAGGCCCAGTTGTTCGCTTAAAAAACTGAGTGAAAAGCATCAGAGCCGGCAGGTCATTGAACTTTGACAACAAAGGCCGACACAGGGCACCGCTCGCCAAGGGGATTCGCCAGTAAATACAATTAATTCGTGTTTGCAATATCTCGGCCGTTTCTGGGCCGATTTAGCTGAAACTTGGACTGTCGGTGGTAGTGTAGGGTAGGGTAGGGTAGGGTAGGGTAGGGCAGGGTAGGGTACGGTAGGTTAGGGGTAGGGGTAGGGGTAGGGTAGGGTAGGGTAGGGTAGGGTAGGATAGGGTTAGGGTAGGGTAGGGTAGGTTTGTGTAGGGTAGGGTAGGTTTGTGTAGGAGTAGGGTAGGGTAGGGTAGGGTAGGGTAGTGTAGGGGTAGGGGTAGGGTAGGGTAGGGTAGGGTAGGGTAGGGTAGGGATAGGGTAGGGTAAGGTAGGGTAGTGTAGGGGTAGTGTAGGGTAGGGTATGGTATGGTATGGTATGGTATGGTAGTGTAGGGTAGGGTAGGGTAGGGTAGGGTAGGGTAGGGTAGGGTAGGGTAGGGTAGGGTAGGGTAGGGTAGGTAGTTTAGGGTAAGGTAGAGTAGGGTAGGGGTAGGGTAGGGTAGGGATTAGGGTAGGGTAGGGTAGGGTAGGGTAGGGTAGGGTAGGGTAGGGTAAGGTAGGGTAGGGTATGATAGGGTAGTAGGGTAGGGTAGGGTAGAGTTAGGTAGGGTAGGGTAGGGTAGGGTAGGGTAGGTTAGGGTAGTAGGGTAGGGTATGGTAGGGTAGGATATGGTAGGGTATGGTAGGGTAGGGTAGGGTAGAGTAGGGTAGGGTAGTAGAATAGGGTAGGGTAGGGTAGGGTAGAGTAGGGTAGGGTAGGGTAGGGTAGGGTAGGGTAGGGTAGAGTAGGGTAGGGTAGTAGGGTAGGGTAGGGTAGGGTAGAGTAGGGTAGGGTAGTAGGGTAGGGTAGGGTAGGGTAGGGTAGGGTAGTAGGGTAGGGTAGGGTAGGGTAGGGTAGGGTAGGGTAGTAGGGTAGGGTAGGGTATGGTAGGGTAGGGTAGGGTATGGTAGGGTAGGGTAGGGGTAGGGTAGGGTAGGATTAGGGTAGGGGTAGGGTTGAGTTCAAAAAGGCCCAACATACAAAACACTTGAACACCCCGCAAGTATCACCATCCCTGTTCAATTAAAAACAGCTACCCAAATCTACCCAAATAATACAGCTAAAAATACAAGTCAATCACCCAAACTAATGCGCCCGTAACATAACATAAATCAAAACATACAGTTATCGCGTAAACCTGTACCTCTAGGGTGAAAAAGAGGGTGAAATTTTCACGACTCGTGGGTCACGTAATTCAACAGGTCGTATTAAATTTTGGGCACGATTCGGCCGGGGGTGCGCCCGTGGCGCGTGCTCATCTGCGCCATGGGGTAAGCATTAGAATCGCGACCGGCGCCGAGCAGAGGGCACGTGCTTTAGGCTCAGTTTCTTCGCTTGCAAACCTGAGCGAAATCAGAGCCGGGAGGTCGTTGACCTTTGGCAATGAATACCGACGCCGGGCACCGCTCGCCAAGGGGATTCGCCAGTAAATACAATTAATTTGTTTTTGCAATATCTCAGCCATTTCTGGGCCGATTTAGCTGAAACTTTGACTGTCGGTGGTAGTGTAGTGTAGGGTAGGGTAGGGTAGGGTAGGGTAGGGTAGGGGTAGGGTAGTGTAAGGGTAGGGTAGGTTAGTGTAAGGGTAGGGTAGGGTAGGGTAGGGTAGGAGTAGGGGTAGGGTAGGGGTAGGGTAGGGTAGGGTAGGGTAGGTTAGGGTAGTGTAGAGTAGGGGTAGGGTAGGGTAGGGTAGGGAAAGGTAGGGTAGGGTAGGGTAGTGTAAGAGTAGGGTAGGGTAGGGTAGTGTAAGAGTAGGGTAGGGTAGTGTAAGGGTAGGGTAGGGTAGTGTAGGGGTAGGGGTAAGATATAGGGTAGGGTAGGGTAGGGTAGAGTAGGGTAGGGTAGGGTAGGGTAGTAGGATAGGGTAGGGGTAGGGTAGGGTAGTGTAGGGATAGGGGTAGGGTAGGGTAGGTTAGTTTAGGGGTAGGGGTAGGGTATTAGGGTAGGGTAGGGTAGGGTAGGTTAGGGTAGTAAGGTAGGGTAGGGTAGGGTAGAGTAGGGTAGAGTAGGGTAGGGTAGGGTAGGGTAGAGTAGGGTAGGGTAGTAGGGTAGGGTAGGGTAGGGTAGGGTAGGGTAGGGTAGGGTAGGGTAGGGTAGGGTAGGGTAGGGTAGGGTAGGGTAGGGTACGGGGTAGGGTAGGGTAGGATAAGGTAGGGGTAGGGTAGGGGTAGGGTAGGGGTAGGGTAGGGGTAGGGGTAGGGTAGGGTTGAGTTCAAAAAGGGCCCAACATACAAAACACTTGAACACCCCGCAACTATCACCATCCCTTACAGTTCAATTAAAAACAGCTACCCAAAT